ACTTAATTTGTTACAATGGGCGATATGCAAGAAATTCATAATTATCCTTTCGATTCAATTATTAAGTTTAAACAGTCAAAACGTAGTTTTTTGTATAAAGTTGTCAAAGAAGGCACCTATCCCAATAAATCATCATTAGTATATACTCTTCCACCAAATAAATATCAAATTCCTGACGGTTATACAATAGAAACTACCTGGGGTAGAGGCGATAATCAATATACTGTTCGATGTTCTATTAATTACAATAATGAAGGCCCAATTTTCCAAATATGCTTTGGAAAACACTTCAAATATGAAGTATCTTCTACTAAAACAGCCACAGATGCCACAAATTTATATCATAAAGTTCGTATTTAATACTTATATTAGGAATATATTTTATATTTATATAAATTAATGCAATTTTATTTTTTAGAAACATGCATCTGAAAAAGAGACTAAAACATCAGGTGTATATTTGTTTGGCCTTCATCTTAAAATATTAAATAAAACAAGAAAATCAAAACAACATGCAAATACATTAAAGCAAATTAATCAATGTAGTAATTCTAATCTTACAAAACGGGCTATTAATGTTGGAAAATTAATACTAACTAAATTTAATAAGAAAGCTTTAGAACTATACAATTCTGATAATATACCAATATTGGAAAGTTTAAATTATTCAGTTAAAAAGCATACTTATGAAATTAATTACAACAATACTGATAAGCAGTGTTTAAAATTCAAAATTGATTTTATGTTCTCAAAAAAACATTTTTTAAAATTTTAATGTTCTCAAAAATTTTTTAATGTTCTCAGTATTAGAAAATCAAAATTTTTTAATATTAAAAAATTTTGTTAAATGTTCTCAAATAGAAAACATTTTCCAGTAATTCATGTTCATAAAAATTGTTAAATGTTCTCTGAAAATACTAAAAATATCAAATTTTAAACACTGCTGATAAGGTTAAAAAAAAGCAAAAAACTGAGTTGATGGTTAAAACATTCGATAAACAAAATATTTTAAGAAAGGCTTACCAAGATTTATATGCTATTGAGTCTCATTTACCATATGAAAAATGAATATATCAAGAATGCCAAGCAATAAATAAAAAAATAGTACAGCTAATACCAATATCAAATATAAATATAATAGCTGAAAGTCAAATTAATCAAGATAAAGAAGCAGATATAAGTGATGAATCTATAATACAAGGAGTAGTTAATACAATTGGTAAAGGTGGTTATAGATGTATTATAGATATTTTACAATATTTAATTTCAAACCTTGTTAAAAAAGAAGTTTTAAAATTGCAGTAACCAATTGTTAATATTCGGATATCTGGGGATGGACATAATGTTAGAAGATAGATAAAACACATAATGATAACAATAGCTATTCTGGATAATAAAAATATATTACAACAACCTGATCATCATTATACTATTGCTCTTTATCCTAGTTCTGAAGACTGTAAAACATTAATGAATATAACAACACCACTTCATAATGATTTAATTAGTTTAAAAACCTAAGAATTAAAAGTTGACAATATTAAATGGAGTTTTCAATTTTATTTTTCATCTAACTAGAAATTCTTAGCAATTTGTTTAGGTTTTAATAGTGCTAATAGTAGGAACTTTTGCTCATAGTATACAATCAATAAATTACAACAAGGAAATTTATTAAATGAATGGAAACTCTGTAAAAAAATAGATTTGTTGGTTAAACAACCTAATTACTACAAAGGACATTCAAAAATATCACTTTTTAATATGATACCTCTTTATTGTTAGGTTCCTGATGAATTGCATATTATGCTTAGAATTACAGATCGATTATAGAGTCTTGCAATGCTGAATTAATCAAATATAATTTATTTAATAATATTGCACGAAAAATTATTATAGAAGAGATGCATAGAATTAATATTAGCTTTCAGTTCTGGCAAAATCGAGGATTTAAAGATTGGAATTATACTTCTTTAATAGGGAATAATAAGCTTAAATTGTTGCAATTTTTTGATTTATCAAAAATTTTTTCAAAAAATTAGGCCAGTATTATAAAAGAATTATAAGATAAATTTTATGATCTATATATAATGATAAAAAATCCTAAAACAAAAGGTAAAGATTTTCAGCATTATGCAATAAAGTTAATTGTCTTATTTTTATTACCATCTGAAGGAATGCCAAATATGAAAGAATTTAAAAGAGGTTTATATCAACCTGATGATATGATACCATGCATTTAAATATTAATTTATCATATTTCTAAATTTTTAATAATCTATCAAAAATGGAGATTAGTAGCTTTTTCATGTAGTAGAGTTTAAAAGAAAAACCATCAACAAATATTATATTTTTTTAATAAAACAATGCATGAAAAAAATGCAATTATAGAAATTCTATAATATGAAAATCAAATACTTTATTATAATAATACTTCAGTAGATTATCAATAGCTACAAATAATTTATATAAATATATAAAAGCAAATTATTGTTAAAGATTTATTACATGTAATTTATTTAAATTATAGTATAACTAGCACTAATATAAAAATGCAAAAAATACGATCTGCTTGAGTAATATTACTATTTGTATTAGTAGTTTTTTGTTTTTTTCATTCTACTACTAATTGACTCTGTTTATATTTTGGTTTATAAACCTTTTTATTAGAAACCAAATATGCAGTAGCTTGTATGATAGGATTTTCTTTAACAATATCTTCATTATCACAAAGCATAATATAAGTATATTGTTGCTTATAAAATTTGATTTCCTAATCTTGTGCATTAAAAATACTTGCTAATAATTAATTAGAAGAACTACTATAAAATATATATTTATATTTGCTTTTTGATATAAAATAATATATAGTTATTGCATATAAAGTATATAATAACTGCTATATTTTATGGACAATAATGATTGGTTAGTAACATAGCTAGTATAGCTGGGTTACTAAATGATCAGAAAAGAACATAAAATACAGCAGTTAGTGCATATAGAGCATGCAATAATAGTTTTATTTTATGATTTACTATTTTAGATTTATGAAATAGTCCAATTATTATTATTATTATTTTTTTAAGCAATCTTGTCTTTATTTATCAGAACTACTATTCTAATGATCATACAATGTACTTACATTTTTATAGTATAATATTCTAGTCTAATAAAAACTCACCAAGCAAAATGCCCAATGTGACCCGCTATAACAACAATTTGTCTCTCTCAGGATCCAACACTTTTGTCGAATTTCGTACTAACAAGAGTACCTCCCTTGATCACGGACAGGTTGTTGTCTACTTTGTCAAGATCACCTATCTTCCTTTAAAACTTTTTCCACCTAGATCCTGGCAGAATAATTAAATCTCTTATGTTTGTATAAGGAAAGAAAATAATGCCAAAATTTACAAAAGACTGGAAATTTAAGGCATATACAAACAAGAATCGAACACAAACCCTAAACTCTATCTATACATAAAGGGAAAAAGATGAAAAAAGACAGGCGAATCTGACACATATAAGAAATGGAAGTGCACTATTATAACTCGTGCCAGGTTGATAAAAATTATATACAAAAGCAACATCTGTATATCTTTACTGTAAGACTATGCCTTATCGTTATTTTTCTTTCCGACCCAATTCCGGAAATTTCTATAAACCTAATTCGTATCTCAAGCAAGTGCTGCCACCGTCTGTAGACCCGTATCTCAAGCTACTTGCTGCCGTAATCAGGGATTCTTTTTTTAACTGGGACCTGTTCCAGCACTTGAACGTCATCTCCATTTTTGGACACATGTTGCTATTTACCAGCCTATCTGGATTTGGAGATAAACAATGTCAATATTTTGGAGGGGGTAAGCTAAATCCCCACTTTTTGGAAAAAATTTTGAAAGACCGATGGGGAGGTGAGTAATAGTAAAGTAGGAACCACTTGGCCAAGTAAAAGAGTGTGAGGCTTCTTTAAAACAGTTGTCTGCTGTTCTCCAGATAAGTCAGATGCATATATAACTTCATTATCGGAAGTGAAAGATCTCTTCCATTAGAATTTTTGCACAAGGGCGCACCCTCCTGCCAGTTATCTTGTACAAGAACGCTTCTAACTTGCATGATAAATATATAGAGGAGTCTCCGAGCCAAAAGAAAAAGCAAGACAACCCGGTTGACCTCTATAAAAACCGTTACTATGCATCTACTTCAGCTCCAACTCCAGCAAACTTCTATTTTTTTTTTCGTCAGTAAGGTTGGTCCAAATGATCATCGGAAAGAGTTATATATTTTTCTATGCTAGTTTATTTTATTTTTTATTTTTTTTTAAAAAATACTATATTTATTTATATATTTTTATATTGCTTATTTTTAGGCGAAATTATAAATAGTTATTTTAACTATAATATAGTACTAATTAAAAGAATTAGAATAGCAATGACAGGCTTTTTTTTTTATATTTTTGGAAATTTCATATTCAAATGCTTGCACAAAAATATTCTGGTTTTATTACTATTAACCAAAATTTTTTAGCTGATCAAACATTTTCAATACTTATTTCTTTGTATCAATCAATAGTTTTATTAGTTAAAGCTCATTGTGAATATTATCCTTAAATGCCTTTAATTTCTTGGATGCATAGAACTAAATCTTGCGAATATTTTTTTAGTACTGCAAGACAAATAAATTTTGATTTTAATTTTGTGGAAATTATTCAAATGCTTTTAAAAATATTTTAATATATAAAAGCACATAAAAATAATAAGTTAAATTTTGAAATGAATAAATTAGTTTATAAAGGTATTTGAAAATTATTTATATTTTATAATTATTATAAATAAGTTTAATTAATTTAATTATTTTTTTATTTTATAGATTACAATTTTGATTACAATTCTGGATTTTTAAATAAATCATCAATTTATAAACTTCAGCTTTAGCCAACAGATGAACAAATATTACAAATATTTTAATATTCACAACAATTAACAAGTAAACTTGCTGAATTTCTTGGAATGATTCAACCAATTAAATTACCAGTTGATATATATGTTCCTATAATTTTTATAGATAACAATAATGACGATATATTAATAGATAGTCATAGTGCAAACAATGAAAGTGAAATATCTAAAGATTGTAAAGTTAATTTGTCTATAGCAATTAATGAAGCCTTTTCTGAAATACAAAAAATAAGCAAACAATTGGAAATATTTTTTATAATAAATATTCAACTACAGTATATCTTGTTAAACCTGATCTTGTCAAAACCAATAACCTTTTACAACTAATAAAAAGTTCATTTCTGATAACCGATATACAATCATCAAATATCTATCCCTTAAATTGTTTTGCAGCCAAATTTGCCTGCAAACTTTTTTAAATTTTAAAATTTTTTAATAAAATTTT